CTCCAGGTCGTGTCGTTTAAAGGAGAAAAAGGAAGAAAGACTATTCTTTGTCCTGGTTATGTCATTTATTCAGAAAACACAGGGACTGTGTTTTTTTATTATTATTGTCTAGCAAAGTTTCTTATCTCTCATCTGCTCTGAATGGGATGTGCATGAAAAGGCAATTTAATGACGTATTTTTCTATTCGTTTCATAGAACTTCTTGTTGGTTAGAATTGCGACTCGTTCTTTTTATTTATCTTTTATATCTGATTCTAAACTTAAAGAGATTAGTGGGTCCATTTTTAATGGAGATTCGTCCAAAGTCTCACAAAAATGTTCATGTCTCCCTGATGTGGGAACAGAATGATGAAAACGTCAATACAACAGAGACATTTTGCCTTTGGATATGCTCATTTATTCTGTATTAAAGCCATATTTTCGAGTTTACAGAACAACTCAGATCAGTTAAAGCAGTGGAGAAGAAGGACAGAGCCTGAGATGAGGAGACAGTGTGAGAGGGTTGGCAGGAGGACAGTGAGAAGCTGGAAGTCTGGCTCTGACTCTTTGGGCTTTTTTCTATTTGCATCCGTAGAGCCGGTTCACGCGGAGGATGTCGTTCTGGCTCATTCTCCGGGCGTAGCCGAACTTCAGGTTCGGGTTGGCCTTGGAAACGATGGTGGGCTTGTTGTTCTTGGAAAACGCTTTGCTTTTAAAGAAAGAAACAGAAAGAGCCATGCTTTGCAACAGCACCAGCTAAAACGTGAACTTCAAGTCTTGGTCTCGTCATTTCCTCTTTTATTTTGAAAAGTTCCCTTTCCCCTCCTGATCGTCTTCTCTGATTCCTGACTGTGCCCACCCCTTCCCCGTGGCCCCCACGTGTCTTACAGTCTGAATCTGGTCGGTCTCTGCCTCAATTTTTGTCTTTTTGTCAGGTTTCTTGGTTTTGTATTTCTTGGTTTTCCTTTAGTTCCCCCCCAACTGTTTAGTTCCAGTCATTTTCCAGCAAGTGCAGCATTTTTCTGCTT